TTCAACAGGTCTGTGATGGTGATCTCCTCGCCTTCAAATAGTCATGCTTAATTTTTCTATTTCGCCTTTTCTTCCTATTCCATTTTTAGGCAGTGAGTAGGATTGAAAGCGTAAACGCGTGGTGCGAGCAAGAATTAGCACAGGACGAGAAGGCGGAGGAGGAGTGGATGCCGGCGGACATAGAGGTAGTCGGATTTGTTGATCGATTGGTCTTCATCTTGATTAATCTCGCTCAGCGAGATTCGAAGGACGAGTCTTCACTTATGGAAAAGCATTGGTGGCGAACATTTTTGGAGGGATATCAATTTGCAGGCCATTTGTTGGTCAATGCGAAGTATTGGCTGCGTGAGTTGGTTAAGACAGTGTTGATCTTCTCCTTAATAAAATTATTTTTTTGGCAAACTGGGAACGATACCACGGATGTGATGCTTACTTCTGATACAATCTTTCAGAAAATATGAGGAAGACATTTCTTTTCACAATCTTTGGCATCATCGTCAATAGATGGATGTTTTGAAGCGCAGTTTGGTCTAGTATTCGAATGAGGTCCAAGTTTGAGGATAAAATACTTTTTTCCCCACCCCCAATTAAAATAAATCCAGGACTGCAACTGATTATGAATTTTAATCAACCAGCACACTTTAATGTCTTATTTTTCAAAATTGTCAATCTCGTGTCAGACCTATCGTTGAAGTTCATTTGCTGCTTTGCTAGTCTTTTATAGAGATGTTTGACAGCTCATTCCGATTATGAGACTGTCCCTAATCTAGTAGATGTTAGTTTCAATGAGTAAATGAACCGTTTTACAAACAACTTTTAAAACAACTGTAAACATAGTTGTTTTTACTGAAAGTTCCCTGCCGATTTTCTTCGACGGTTTCTGCATATGTTCATGATTTTAAGTAGCTTTCGATACACCATACAGTCTTAGTTGGATGGGGAAACGCTTCATTTCAATTTCCCATGTCGGATTTAAAGGCATTCCTAAATAAGTATTAGGCTACAGCATTAGAATTGTTTTCAAAAGCCAAAAAATGCTGTAAATATTTGACCATAGTTTTGACACTTTCATTAGTTTATGTACTAAAATGACTTACTTATCCCTAAACGATCCAATTTAGCATCGTTTTCAGCAGTTTCCTCCCTACTCACTTCATTTTTCTTTTTCTGACTAAAGCTGTAGCCTCAGACGAGCATTCTTTGCCCTCGCACCTTCTGGCCACAGCCCGTTTGGCACTCGCTGCTCGTGATGACTCAGGGGCTCTTGATTTGGAGAGAATCTCATCCTTTGAACCCTTTCATCCACACCAGCAGCTAAAAGCGGTACCGGTGGTTGGAAGGAAACAGTGTTTCGATGTCTACCGAGATCCTATCCCTAAGACGGAAGCAAAGAAGGCGCATGCCGTAATGGTTGCTATTCGAGCGAGGGTCGTGGAAGTGCTCCAGGAATGGCCTGAACATCCAGCTCTCTTAAAAGTGTGTTTAATCATTACGAATTTTTGGTCCATTGTATTACAAAATCGTTAGCTCAGCTTTTACGTAGATGTGATTTTGAACCGCCTGTTTGCACACAAAGACCAGCTTATCAGAGGTACTCTATATCAATTACATATTCTTGAATGGGTACGCAAAGTCGGCTCGTCTTCTGTTCGTCATTCTAAAACAAATAACATTCTTTTTGCTTGCCTATGATTAAGAAGTGATATCGTTGGGGGTGTTTTGTGCTTTTAGTAAATCAAACAAGGGTTGAAAATCGGTGGGCAAAGATGGAATGATGCTTTTGTCCTATTTCCTTATACTTCATAGCAGTAAGAATTCGTAGGGTGCTGCGCATCTTCCTATATAATTCAAATGATGATATAGGATTTATGGTCTGAATTGAATTAAATTGCAAAGCAGATTGGGAAGATTGACTCTGAAGTTAGGATTTTTGGAAACCTATTCACTTTTCTACTCTCCAGCATGATCTGATCTGATCTAAGCCGATAAGTTGAGTCTGTAATGCCAGGATAAAGTTAATTTTTTTCTCTCCACCTGAGTTGTTTTTGTTCCTTCGTTTGAGCAAAGCCACTAGTTTTTTGACACAAAAGTTGCCTAAATGAATCCAAAAATTGCCTCTTCCCCTCCCTTCAGATCATTACAGTGCTTAATCGGATATGTACTTTTGGTATGAGAGATTGTCTCACCAAGTACATCACTGCCTTTGAGATGCTACTCGCCGAGATGCAGGTAAGCTAGCCTTCTCCTTCTCCCTGGCTCTTCCTCTCTGCAATCATTTATCACCTTTTGGTGTGCTTTTGAAGGAGTGGGAGAAAAATGCTGCTCGACACGTCTCGTTGTCCACCGTCTTCAAGTCGGTGTGTGATCTCCTCGTAGACTGGCGCAAACTGGAGCTAAGGTGACTGGTTACTTTGAGGGACTTTTTTTCTATTCACTGAGAAGGAACTATTGGTTTTTAGAGAGAAAGTAGTTGACTTTCTATCTTAAGATTGATGAGATAAAAAATATACAACTTTATCTCTCGAGGGGCGGCATTTCTTTGGGAATTCAGTATGGTCAAGACTCACCGCAATATTTTCGAATGAGTTTTTTTAAATGATAAATCACACCATTAATTTTTTCCAAAATTATTTAAATTTAATATAGAATCTCGGAATTTTATTGGAGGTTCAGAAACGTCCCGAAATTTCTGTCGTATTTTTTTTCATACATTTTGGGCTTTTGGGTTACACTTTCTATAATTCAGTTACATGCTAGACTCAAAAAACCAACTTAGGAATCCCACGATAAATGATTTACAAGTGTTTTTTATTTGGATTTGATCCAAGTCACTTTGATGTTGCCCGCTTAATGTTTAATTTCACGTGGCCAAAATCTTGTTGTTATACGTCGCCTTGTAAATGTTCACATTTAGAACCTAAACCAGTTCTACAGAATACCCTTTTTGGAGCTTGTCATAATGGAAGTTTTGGCTTAATCATAAAACAACGATTAGTTATTTTATATTCAAAATAAATTTCCTCAATATTACTAGGGTGTTATGGATTTTTCTCGATAAGTTGGAATATTTTGGCATAGGATCGGTGTTGAAAGCTACGTTTTTCAGCAAGGCATTGATTTTAGCTAAGATTTTACTTAAGAAGAATGTTATTAGCATGCCTGTTTAAAGAATGAGGCCCTTGTATAGTCGCTCTGTTGTGCATTTGCGTTTTTCATCGTTGAAATGCCTATAAATTTTCTAATTTCGTTTTTAGTCATGGTAATTTCTCAATAAATCATAAACTTTTCTAACTTAACTTTTATAATCTTTTATTTGTCACCATTCTTAGAATATTCTTTCATTCATGCTCGTAAAAGGTTCTTTATGAACAAGAAATACAGGTTTATTCACTGAGTCATTTAACACCTTCTGCTCCTTTCTGATGTCACTTTCCTGTTTGTGAAAAAACTGAACTTGACACTATCGTATTTGGGCTATCACATCATACTCAGCAATTCTAAAATGGTTTTCTCTAAACTCAGCCGTAAATGTTATCTATCTGCTCCAATTTTGCAGATGCTGGATGGCGGCGTTGGACGCTGCCACAGAAGCCTCAGCAGATCGTTGCGCCCCCCTCTGGTTCCACCTTCAGGACGTCTTCCTGCAGCCTACTAGCGCTTCTTCCGCCGCCATTGCCAATAACCTCGTGAAAAAGCAGTGCCAAGTTCTGCTAGAGTTCATGGAAAATGGTCCGATAGGCGAATTCCATGCTCGTTGGCGTCTCCTGGCCGCTCTTCACAGCGCTCTCGCCGTCTGGCCTGGCCTTTCAGACACTCGTGAGTTCCGTTTCACCAATTTAAATCTCTTGATTTCAGGTAGATTTAGGATACGGGAGCGGCGCTTTATGTTCCCGTGATACATGAATCATCCAGATGTTAATGTTGCGCGCATTTATTCGGAATAGTGGACTGAACGTAACATTTAGTTTGGCTTATTTGCCTTTGTTTCAGATCGAATGGCAGCTCGAAAGATAGTGGGAAATGTAGTTTGGTTCTACGGTCAATTTATCCCCCACGTGGATAAGTCTCTACTCGATCAGCAAAAGCCCATTCGTGAGAAGATGAAAAACTTCATATCTGTTATGAAGTGGGGTGATTATATCAGCTTCTGGACCATGAAGGAAAATGTTGATCGATGCAAGCGTACTATTCACAAGCATGTGCGTATTCGTATTATTAAGGCTTATCTCCTTTTTTAATGCCCTTCAACTTCTCTTCGGCTTCCTTTAGATCCGTACGTGGGAGGGAGTTTTGCGTCAGTCGGTGAAACCCTGTTTTGAAGCTTCGATAAGGACGTCAATCGAAGTTCCCATTCCTGACACTGCGCTCTCTCTTCTAGAAAATGTACAGACGGTTGAGGACCAAGATTATGGCATTTTCCAGCTTTCAACTGAGTTACAGAGGTGGCTGTCAATGATAGGGAATGAGAGGGAATTACCTATTAATATTATGTAAGCTTAGACAGTTAAATGCTGGCTTTTCTATTTACTGTAGATTTCTAACTGAGCTGATATATTCACTCTGCTTTAGGTTTCAGGTGATTTATATTCCCCATACGCCTTAGATTGCACCAAAATCTATATTCGTTTACGAACTCTATCAGTCAACCGTTGAAAATAGTCTTTGTTGATACATTCATTTTAATGACTGCTAAGTTTGCTTCAAATTCGCACAGGAATTACATGTTGGTAACACTTCTAGGCAACTATTCACTGGGATTATTTTAAAGTCCAACGTTATCCACAACAGATCCTTGATTGTTAATCTGAACGACGGAATTTTAAACCCAATAATTAGCACTTTAACCATGGATTGAGATTCGCGTTCATTTCAGAGCAGTATTGGCAGATAAATTTGCTGTAGCTGACAAGTTCTATTTATCGATTTCAGACGACTACCTGTTTTGATAAAACGTTTCAAAGACCATGTTTCCCAAATTGCAAAGAAAGCCTCCTGTCTCTCATGGATGCGTCAATTGCGAGACTCTCTCGAAGACTGGATGCTCCGTGTGAAGGAGTTGTCGCGCTCCACACAACAACTTGACTTCGAATCGCCATCCCAAGCGGCTCTAATTGCGGTCTTGAAAGAGAAGGAAGGAGGTGGTCAATCTGGCAAAGGCAAATCCACACAAGTGGACGAAGAGGAAATGCAAAAGGCAAAGAACTGGATCAGTCGATACTATGCCCTTCAACAGAGCAAAAAACTTGCTCTCAATGACTGGTTTCGTTTATCGTTTGGTCATAGGCGTTTGGCTGCCGCCTCCCTTTCGAAAAAGTATGTCTTATGAGTAATTGGTACCCATTTGTATATTGCAATTATGCTACCTTATTTGTAGACTCGAGATTGGGCACACGTCGAGTGACGATTCATCTGATGAAAAATTTAACGAACTGGCCACCACGGAGGTTGAAGGCACTGATCACCAAGGCGACATCTGCCTAGGCCTATCCTATCGTCGGGGTCTCAGAAAAAGCCTTTTTGCGAAACCGCGGGGTCTTTTGCTATCGGAATTGGGCGGTGATCTTTGGGCTTTCTATATGAACTCTCCACCTATCTCCATATATCAACTGGATCAACTTATTTCTTCGAAGAGTATCCATAACCTGTGAGCATTCTAAAGTTCAATGAAGTACTAACTTGATTGACATCCTTTATACTTCAATCTCTCTTCAGTCAAAAGTCGGCGTTGGAGATCCTCGCTCGGCTAATTTCTCTTCGATCTGGTTTACCGCAACATCCAGAGAATCCCGAAGTTGTCAACGATCTCGGAGGTCGTGAAGGTGTGGAGCGTCTTCTTGGGTCACTTGACGATATCCTAGCCAACTGTGCTGGCGATTTCGAACCACTCGGTAATCTCTATTCAATCTTCCAAAAGCTTAAAAGTCGTGTCGAAGAGATTCACACCTCCTATTGTGAGGGCTCAACGATAGATACAATCCCACTTTGCTCCAGTCAAGTGATGCGAAAGTTAAAGGTGTGTGGTTAGTTTTGGTGGAGCTGTTGTATTTTTCTGTCGTTAATTTACTTTATTCCTTTTCTACAGGCTTCGCGTCAGAGAATAGCTACTCTCGCATCTGTATGTGTTCAGCAATGGATTAGGTTCTCCGAAACATGTTCTAGCCTCTCAACCCAACCTTCAGAGAGTCTTAAGCACCTTCTTCATGCTAATTCCGAGTACCTCCCTGTGGAATCGCGGTCTTGTGATCTGCCAAGAGCTTTAATTGATTTCCGCCCCCGATTGGAAGAAATTGCATGTCGCTTGGATCAACGCATCCCGCAAGCATGCATCGCAATCACCGGAGATGTCATCAACCAACAGAAACTACTCCAGACAGCCTCAGACGACTTCCTGCAATGTTGTCAGGAGATTGACTCACAAACTTGCCCGAATACGACCCTCCTCTCAGGTCTTCTTTCCGTAGCTGAGTCCATTTCCACCGAAGTCAAGATCTCCGGTAATCTTATCACCTCATCTGCGTCGACTTCCGCCATCTCCACCTCATTTGAAAACCGCATAAATTCTCTTATCACCAAGGTTCTGATTAGTCTTCAAGATCTCAAACACATTGATAAGGGTGTTGAGGCGGGGAGAGGCATCATTAATCAAATGACAGCCTGTATCTCCACTCTGCAAACTATCTGTTTTGCTAGACTAGAAACTCTTGTCACCAGTCTCGAGCATCTCTTCCCCTCGTCTTCTGATGATATCCTTCATCTTCAATGTCTTATCCCTCTTCTTGCCTCCCTCCTCAACGCCATGTCTCTTCGTCTCCGACATCTCTTCGCTCTTCTGATTTCATGGCTCAGCCTCGGCGAGTTTCTCGCTCGGGTGGCCTTCCGTCTTCTTAACGATGGTTTCTGCAAACCTGCAGCTCTTTCCAAAGCCACAGCAGCAAATGAGCAGCTCACGAAAGAGGGATCAGCAGCTGGCGACTCAGCTTTTGGTGCCGAAAACGGCAAAAATGACGGTTGTACGAGTCTCAACGCGGAGGGTGTGGATGCCAGTGGTGCCAAAGACGTCACCAAGGATTTGGAGTCTCAAGAGCAAATCGAGGGCACTATGGATCAACAAAGCCAAGCATCGAAGGATGAGAAGTTGCCCCAACCTGATTGGGGAGAGGAGGGAATTGAAGTGCCTGATGACTTCGACGGAGCACTGGACGATGGTAGTGGATGGGAGAAGAGTCCTGAGGCTAAGGACGATGATGAAAGCGGTCTTCAGGGCATTGATGAACAGATGGGTGAGACCGGTGATGAACCCGACGAATTAAATCAGGAGATGTGGGCCTCTGATGGCGAAGAGGATGATGAGAACGAGGAAGAAGAGCGTAAGAATGCTGATCTTGATGGAGGAGGGGTTAAGGATCGTGGAGGTCCTAAGTCAAAGGGATCGAAATCGACGGCAGTGGATGTGAATTCACAAAATGGTGACGACAAGTCTTGTGAAGATACAATGGATGTTGAGAATGAGGCGGAGGAAATTGACGATGCTACCAACACAACGACCACCGCTGCTGTCGACGCTTCAGTAACTGCAAAAGCTGGTGAAACCGAAACAGTTGCTGGTGATGAGAAAGAGAACGAAGGTAGTGCTTCAGAGGCAATGAAGCAGGCAGAACAGGTACTGGCTCAACAGGAGGCGGAATTGATGGAAACCGAGAAGGAAAGTGGGGAAATAGGGGAAGACATGATGGAGGAGTTTGGTGAGAACATGGACCTTCAACCGAACCCAGATGACTTTGAGGATATAGGGGGTGAGCTGTATTTCTGTTATCACCTTATAATTTTAAATTTCTTTTTCAACAGATTCCCAAACTCCTGAAGAAATTGATTTGAAAGCTCACTCCATGGAGGTAGATGATGAACCCGAAGATAGAGAGCCAAGTGAAATAAATTTGGACAAAAACAGGAGTGAGTTGCCCACTCAAAGGCTTTTTTCATTTTTTTTTTTTTCTGCTTAAATTTTTGACTTTTTTCTACAGAAGCAGAAGATTCGATGCCTCCGGATGAGAGGTTTATTTCAGAGTATTATCCTGGCGCTGGTGACCTGAACACTGGCAATGTGAGTATTTTTTGGAATCTTTACACAGTTATCGGGTCTTAGCTATTTGCCGTTTTTTCTGATTCGCAGACCGGAGCCTACGATCAAAATTTTGGTGCGAATGAGGTAAGTCATCTTTTCAGTGACAGTTCTTGCATCTACAAAAACGTCAAATTTTTCTTAAATAAATTGGATGTTTCGAGAATGGATTGTCGCAAGTATCTTAAGAATTAGTCTTCAAATTAACTCTCAAAATAATGCTTTAATAATAGGTTACCGTTAAGGAAGCCTAGTTGTTCCTAATGAATGATCAAATTACTATGTTAAAAGCCAATTATGAAATTCGAAGTAGTAATTAATTTCAGTTTATTCGGAGGTTAGTGTTTCCATTCTGCGAATGATTTAATGGTGGAATTTTCCATCTGTGACTTATTACCAAATGATTTTTTGTAGAAAATATTAGTTCTGTAGTACCTGTAGCATGATTCCTCTTTTAATTCTTCAGTTTACTGATAAAACGATTGTTGAAAGATTGGAGGGCCAATTTTTATTTTTCCTGTTCCGTTGTAACTCTGAAGTGGTGAAATCATTTATTGTGGAGCCTTTTTTTCAGAACCAAGAGGAAGTGGTTACAGCAGATATTAGTAGCATGGGCGAAGGCTCTCAGGGCAATGAGGAAAATCAAAAATCAACAACCAGTGCCTCGGGGAATACTGCTGGTCAGTCCTCTACGGGGCTGTCCTCAACACCTAACCATGGAGCGCTTTCAGAAACCTTCAATCGGCGTCAACAGGGTCCACGACCAACCTCTGATCAACGAACCACCCTGAACGAAAAACCGCAGCAGCAGCCTCTTTGCCAGGTAGAGAGATGAGGGTTATTATTTTGAACATTGCCAATAGTTTTATTTAGGTTTATTTACAGCGTTCAACACAATTCATCGAATGCAAGTCCCTATCAACCAATGTGATGTTGAATTATGCATAAAATTGTTAAGGTAGCTTTTCTAAGCACATCATCACAGGTTCTTTTTTCAACCAGCATGTGGTCATTCTTAAAACGCAAGAAAACACCATCCATTGTATCTGCTTCATGTATGCACTTTCATCGGTTTCCAGGCGGAGATTCTGGAGGCCCAGACAGAGGCTTCTCCAACAAAGGACGCGGAAAGAGAGGCGGGAGAAGGCAGTGCGGTGCAACACGTTGCAGACGAGGCAGCAGCGAAGGCGACGCTACTCACAGCCTTCGACTCCGCCACCGATGCCCAACAAGAAGAGAGAAAGGATGTCGGCATGGGCGAAAACAATGATCAGGCTGAGCCCGGTGCTGATCCCGAGCAACAGCTACCAATGCCATCGGACGACGTCGATCCTACTGTTTTGGAGGTGAGGAGCTTAAGGCTGCGCATACTTGTTTCATGTGCCGTTGATTTTTATTGGAAGAGAGATAGTACCAAACTTTTCCGGCTTTTGTTTGCTTTCATACACCAGCCAAGTCTTTAAATAGGCCAAAATTTTGAGAATATCAGTAAGCAGACGAATCTTCCTTAAAATCACCTCAAAATGACTTTAAACTTGGATGGGTGGAAGCATTCATTCTTGGAGTGTTTATTCGACACGAAGGATGGTCATGTTGGATATATCTAGTGCTCACTTTTGTTGAAGTGAATTTGGAAGACATGTTAATAGCTCAAAGGAAATGTGCTCTTTCGGGTTATGGTGACGGCGAGGCTGTTTTTATGTCAAATTTTCAACGCTTCTGTTAGTAGTAGTAAGATGAAACTCCCTGCAGTGACCGATTGGTAAGACTGCCCTTTTCCGTTAGATAACCAGCAATTTTTAGTCTGGAGCGGTAAGGTAAGCATAAACAAAGCTCGATTAATACTTTTACCATCATCTTTTAATTCAGTCCAACCCTCATCTCGCTCCTGACAAATCACTAAAAACCACGAAGGAAGAGAGTAACCAAGAGAGTTTAAAAGCCAGCGGCATCGATGTGCCAACTTTACCGAAACTCGACATGGAGATGGTCGCTACCCTTGGCGCCCAGCGACCCCCTGAGTCGTTCTTTAACACCAACCTTGCCATACCACCACCTGCCCAACAGCTGCTGGAGGCACCCTGGGTGGCGCCACTGCCACCATCTCTGCGGCGCCATAGTGGTTGTCATGACGACGACGTCGAAGAACGCGAGGCTCTGTCGGCCGCTGCGGCACTTGACTGGCGCACCTGTGTGGCGCGCTCCTACGCCCTCTCGGTGAGGCTTTGCGAGGCCCTCCGGCTGGTCCTTGAACCCACTCGCGCTTCCCGCATGAAAGGTGATTTTCGCACAGGAAAGAGACTCAATATGCGTAAGGTTGGTTGAAGGAAAATCCTGAAAGCCGTTTAAAAACACCCAAGTGTATGATTTGATATTTACTACATTTTGATTTGAGAATGTACTTACTGGTTAAGGTTAGTGGTGGATTAATCTTAGCCAATGCATGGTATCGAATTGCTATCTAAGAACTCTTTTAAGATTTGACATCAAGTACTGAAGATCGGTTGAGTTTATGGTCCCCTATCATTTGGAACTTTGAGAATCTATTCAGGAAAGCTAAAACTTCTTATTTGGTACTTTGTTCGCTTTAAGCGATGATTGCATTTACCGATGTGCCCTGTATTGCAAACTTCTCTTGAGTAAATCATCAAGCAACTTATTGTGGTTTTCATATCCTGAACCCACCTGTATTGCAGATAATTCCCTACCTGGCGAGTCAGTTCCGGAAGGACAAAATTTGGATGCGTCGAACACAGCCCAACCAACGAGATTACCGGATCCTCATTGCGGTGGACAACTCCTCCTCTATGGCAGACAACCTCTGCAAGCAGGTAGGTCATGCATCTTTGTTCCTCTCTTCACTCCACCATCTCCGATCCATTCTCATTATTCTCTTCCTTATCTAAAGATGACTTTCGAAGCGTTGGCTACGGTGATAAATGCATTAAACCTCCTTGAAGCTGGGAAAATTGGTGTCTGCAGGTGAGTTGCCTTAAGCAGCCAATTTATCTGTTCTACATTTACAAGATCTTGTGTTTATAATGCTGCTTTCAAATACGGACTGCTGATTTTTAAACAAAGCGAATGATGCGATAACTTTCGTTCTTTTCATGCTTGAGTTCTATTAAAAAGGATTTTTTTTACGTCCAATGTACTTGATAGTCGTTTTGTTGGTGCATCAATCTTATTGAAAAATCACTTAACCCATAACGTTTTTAACAATTCATAGTAAACTCACTTTTTTATACCAGGTGAACATGGACTAGTGCTTGTTACTTTGGTATCAAATTTCAGCATTAACAAGACACTAAAGCGTACATTCGGGCATGTTAATTCACTGAAGTGATTTGTCTTTGAGGCTTTCCCAACACTTTTGATTATTCCATTAGAACTTAAAACTCCCAGAGCTTTTAATTGTTTAGGTGAAATTCATTAAAATCAGCAGAGCATGTTATTGTGACTACTATTAAATTAATTCTGAGCCCAAGTAAATGTTTTTTCGTCAAATATCTATCATGCACATCCCAGAAAGGGGCGTATAACTGTCGCTCCCACCTTGCAGCTTTGGTGAGTCGGTAGAGGTGGTGCACGGGCTGGGTGAGCCGTGGACCAACGAGATGGGCGCTGCAATGCTGCCCAAATTCGACTTCAAGCAGGCACGCACTTCACTCACCCAGGTTGGTTACCAGTCGGACTATTTACCACGGCTAACTTCGCTGTGATTAGCAGCCAATATTACCCACTGCGATTTTATTAATAGGGTAATGGTTTATATACCCAGTGAATTTACCTGTCAAGTAGGTTTTGAAAGCGAATGTATGTTCCCCTCTTGTAAGCTATGAATATAAAGATAACTGTATGGTGTAATGAGCGGTTCCACCTTTATCTGAATTTTGAAGGCAGAGAAGACTCGTAGGAATACCTTTCAAATGGATCAGGACAAATTTGCCTTTATTGGCAAGGTTTCAAATAATATTTCGCAAGGAAAGGCGTTCTTGAAAGTGTCTTTTGAGGTGAAATCCCAGCATTGTCCGGCTGTCTACTTCCACATTGTATACCAAGGAAATTAAGTCCGCTCACATCCCCGATTTATGCAATTAAACATAATCACTTAAAAAACAGCTCGAGTTTATGTGTCTAGAGCCTACTACACAACTTCAGAAGTAAACACACAAGCACGGACACGGAGGGTCATTGATTGCTGCTAACTTTTTGTGATCTTAATTAAAAGATTGGGGAAAATAAACGCTTCAGAGTAGAGACCTTTACTGCCCCAACTTTGAGTTTTCCTCGGAGCACTGTGCACGTCTCTGAGGTTTTGGGGTACACGCCCGCGTGCATGAATGTCCTCCCAAACTACGCGGTGTCCTCGCAAAATGTTTCCCAATCAGGACCGAAGCAATGGAAGCGTCGTGCGAATGTGTCTATATTGTCGAGAACTAGCTGCAGAGGGGGGAAATTTAGATTCTTTATGTAGAAACTTCTAGAACTCCAAAATTGGAACATCTTTCGGGATTGTAAATGTGCCCAGCATTAGGCAATTCATTTTTCCAAATGCGTTTGCGTCGGTGCCAAATACACGAAAAACTTATCCCAATACATTAAAGTCATTGTTTTCGCACACTTCACGAATAAGTTGTCTTTTACGGGTCCCTGTCTTTTCTGTAACGATTTCGCCTCATTAAAGCAGCTCACCATCTAGACTATTCCATTTTTTGTTTTTTCGTATAAGTGCGGGGAATTCGTCTACGAGTTATGCACAATGACCACGAACCTTTGAATCGCCTTTAATTCTCCCAATTCGTCTTCAAATTAGGGACCATTCAAAACATTTTAACATCAATTTTGTTAAACCGGCATGATTCCCCTTACTAGTATTCGATAAATCGCATTCACTCGCCTATTTTGTTTTTTAGCTGCTGATGGCGGCGGTGGCGCTGATGCAGGTAGCAGGCGAAGGTAGCGGTGGAGGACAGGGTACTGCTGCGAGCCAGCTCCTCCTCATCCTCTCTGACGGCGTCTTCTCTGAGGATCCTCAGAGCTCCACTCTTCAGGCCGCAGTTCGACTCGCTCGCGATCACCGACTTTTCGTCGTCTGCATCATCATCGACGATGTTAAGAAGAAGGTGCCTCATATTATATTCTTTGTCTTCTTGATCTGTGCCCTCCGGTGGAAAAAACCTCTAATTTCGTTTTATGCTTGTGCTACTCAATTTTCAAATCAGATCGAAGTTTACTTAACACCCGATTGAAGATTTCACATGCAAAAAATAGCGGTTTAAGGCATTAAATGTGGCTTTGAAGTGTTAATTTAATAGTGGAGCAGTTCATCCAGTGTACATTTTTGTGCTCAGTAATCAAGAAAAATTCTGATTCTGTTTTACGTAAAGTAACCTATTATTTAACAGTGAATTTATCAACTTATCCTTTTTGCCAAAACACTTTTCTGCATTAATACCTGACAGTGGCATCTTCATAGTGTTGATGCGTCTTAGTTTCTAAGTCAAGTTAGAGAATTTCTGCCACTTGATGGACCACCTCAGTGCCTATTTTTCGGCTTCGCTTCGAAGTAGTGTAAAGGCAAATGAATTGATTTGTTCGAATACGATACGTATCATATGTGAATCGCTTGATCTGGCGAAGAATTCACCTCCAGGCAATTCTCTACTGGCAAGGCTGGTTGGATTGCAGGATATTTAAATGCTTTCTTAATGTTTGTGAATACCGTGATCTCAACCTGCAATCCCAACTCTTTAGCTTATGGTTCTTTAGTTTGTGGCAAACCCGCTTATCTCAGTTTCAAGATACGATTTGCATTGGCGAAAATTGGCCCAATGGCATTCCATAAAAGAAATTGGCAACAATGCAATGTGGACCGATTTTGTGTTGTTTTGCGCTTTTTCCACTCATTTATGTAAAGAACTTCAATTGATTCTTATGATATTTAAAACTGGGGTTGTGCTGTGTAAGCCCTTGCAAAAATACCCCGAATTGCATGTCTGCGTAGAATTGTTAATTCAAAGCATTCAAGGTGTGCTGACATACAGATCGCTCGGTAATTGTGAGATACGCTGTTTGAAATTAATAAACTAAAATTTTACCCTTACCTTAGCAGACATTTTCATGTCGTGACATTTCAACTTTTCTGGGGCACAAAATACATCGCGTATTTTTCGGAGAGGCGTTCCCTAACTGAGCGGAAGAAACGACTTAAATTGAGTTCTCTCCCGCCCTCAACTAACTGGCGCTTGGTTTCTTGTTAGTCTTCATTGAAAGCGAGATCACCTCTCTCCGAATAATACACTCTTAGCACATCCAAACCTTCCCATTGTAACCGCATATCCTTTCCCTACCCCAAACAGCACTCCATATTCGATTTACGGCGCTATACAGGGCCAGGCCAACTGACGCCCTACATGGACTTTTTCCCGTTGCCCTTCTACCTCGTCTTGCGCGACGTCACTGCGCTGCCTCAGCTGCTTGCCGAGGCGTTGCGCCAGTGGTTTGAGCTTGCTTCTACCAATGCCGGTGGGAATGGCGCAGGCTCAGCACCATTTATTCCATTGTAGAGTGTATTTCATGCATACTGCATCTTATCGCCTCCTTGTATCATGTAGAATCAAATGACTTTAAACTTTAAGTTCGCATGCATGGCATCTTCATCTATTTGGGGGGAAGTCGAAAGTTTAAACAATAGCATAGGTAGCTCTCCACAATAATTGGGACTTTTCTACGTTGGAGCTCCGCAAGTCGTCCTCCCGTTGTCACTGCAGCACCACAGTTACTGAGGTTCGTTCTTTGTTTCTCGTGCTTCCGTCTTCCATGCATTTGGTCCACAGGGCAGCGATAAGTACCAGGGCCATACGATCAGCTTGATATCGCATTGTATCGCACTCAAAATGTCAGGTAAAAGAAGTGTAGATGTTCCTGCCACATGATTTTGACTGGGCTCTAACTTTGTAAACCCTGGAAATGTATTGAAATTACCAAGTCAACCCTTTCGTCGGTTTAACGAATATTGCAGGGTTAGGTGTATCATCCACAGATCTGGGAGTTTAGAAGTGAATTAGAATCGCCATTTCCAAGACCTCTGTCAACCTAATTTACTGCAGATCGGATACTCCCACTTTTAACCATTAAAGCTTCACAAATGAGATTTCCCCGACGATCTGCTTGATTTCGATTCATCAAACAATGTGATTTCGTAAGGCTAACCCATTATTGACTGAAGATCTCCATCTATATTATGTGCTGTGCCATCATTAACTTGTGGCGCCCGGCTTCATTTGCAAGCGTATCTCAAAACGTAATGCTCGTGTTCAGAAAGACTTGGGATTTAGCAGTACGGATGACAAACGGCTTCCTGTCATCGTCGTAGAGATCAGTTAACGCGAAGCTGAAATAAGCAGCATATTTGTCTATGTAGCAAATGTTGTAGGTTACGAATCAAATGAGATGATGCCGTACCAAGCAGTACGGAGTCCCCACACTACTCCGTATTTTGAGATGAAAGTACGTCGCTGCGTCCTCTCCCCCAGTTACCTCCAATACACCCGCGATTAGATTTGACGACATTCGAAGGGATATCTAGGTCATTCTAAGACTTCAAAAGACCTGGTCTCTTTCGAGCGTGAGAAAGGTGCGAAACGGAACGCCTGGAATCCTACTACATGATCAGTATTGGTATGCACACGCTTCTTGAATAGATCTATTAAAAACCGATTTTGCTCATGTGATTTGGCGGATCGGAAACCCCGCGTCATAAAAAGCTTTATTTGTTTATTTGAGGTGGTGGGGCATAAAATCAAACAAAAATATTAAAACCAGCTATCTTTGCTCCAACTGACGCAATCTGCCAAGATGAAAGAGATGCCGCATCGTTGGCCTCCCGTGGGGACAATTCTAAAAATAGAGGGAGTTAAAAATTGACCTCATTGCAAATGTAGTTTCTTTGCCTACCCAAGGATGCTCCATTGTACTCATGTTGGACACAATCTATAGTAATCGAAACATAGAGAGGGGAACAGTCACAGAAAGAAGGGAAAGCGATGGGAAAGAAAGTGCTTACTCGAGCCATCTGCTTGTGGTCAAGAACGGTGCCGATCATGACGGCGCTCCGACAGGCACGAGAGGCCAACATGTCACGTAGTCGAGAGGGACGACAATTTCGGGACTGTAGGAAAGAAAAAAAGCAGCAAATAAGGAATTAATATTTCGACTCATGAATGGAAGCAATTGGGTGGTTCAATATCCAATTCGGAACGACCGAGTAGACGTCAACCGCCTTCCTACATAATCCTTGAAGACCAAAATTACTGTTATTTACACAGTCGAACAATGTGGGAGTAGCTTTCGTGAATTCTGATAAGACATCCAATTTTTACTAGAAGACCCAATTCCCTACATCACACCACAAGGATAAATCCCAAGGTGACCTGCCTCACCTACTTGCAATCTAAAAACAAACTAGCAACAACTGGTCCATCCCAGCACTTAAATGAGGTAGAAATATCAGAATCCGCCTTTGATTTAATACATACGAGTAAATAAATGCAGTATGGTAGGATTCGGTAGCGACTCCGCTTCAAATTACAGAATTTATCATGGCCTCAAACTCTTCAAATGATATTGGGACCTATTACAGTTGCTCGACAGAGAAAATCTGGCCGTCACCTCGCAGTGAACCCAGACCTATTAATAACGATATTTGGGCAAAAATGCTGAGATTTGACACCAAAAGGACCTGGTAAATCGAAAAAAGTAAACGGTCATCAGAAAACAACACCATTTTGCGAACACGCTACATATATGAGCCATTTCCAATACATTTTTGCAAAAGCTGGGCACCAGTGTAGTATGTTCAGACTGTTTAGTAAGCACTTCAATTGGTGCGAGGAAAAGTTAATTTGTTCGTTAAAAATTGCTCCAAAAAAGTCATAGAACTCACCATAAGTCTCTCACACAACAAAAAAGCAAGTTGGATTCGATGGGAAAGCTGGAAAGTGCTCAACCGTTAAATTGAGAAATAGATTCTTTAGTTACATATCTGGAACAAGCTTAATTAGCATGGCAATGCAGCCTATTGTCCGGTAAAAGCTTAGTTATCAACAGTAAAATTAATGTGAAAAGTATAATGAGCGAGCTAGTGAATAAGAGCACAAAAAAACGTAAATGAAATTTCCCAGCTTTATGTAGCTGCGGTAGATGATACAACATAAAATGCAATTTTTAAGGACGAATTTTCTTGATAAAAATTAGATTTTTAAGAAAATGAGAAACAGTTGCATCAAAGTAGCCCTGAACTCAGCACAGTACAAGCAGTCCACGCACACCCGACATCCAGTAAGTTTTGGGATGGGGTTTACCAAGTTGGGCCAATTTAAGAGATTGTAGATGCGAACAAATATTTCCAATTCCACCTCACTTTTTGACCGTTTTCTATCCAAAGTCTGTTGGAGCCAGTAAACTAACGTTTCGGCCTTTAAAGTGGTTGAACCAATGTAATATTGTTATACCAGCATTAATTTGTAAGTCAAAAAGTGCAAAATTTGTAAGTCCTGCTTTTGAACGACTACGTAGTTCTCATAAGGTTGGTTTAAGGAAGGCTGTACCTATCTTGGATTTAATTGATACTTGTTAAAACAAACAAGCACATGCACCCAAGACGTACCAGACTCTCAGACAGCACGAAAAGCATCTCTTCAATGTCTACAAGGAATGATAGGCATACAGAGAAGCAGAGTTCTTTGTGCCAGATCTAAAGACGCGTGAAAACTCACCTGCAAGGCCAAAAACTTTGCCCTCACTCATAGGCGCCGAGATGAGGTGAAAGCGTTGGCCGAGAGGGGCTAAAGAAAACAGGAAATTCGTGTCAGTGCGGAGGGAGATGAAAAGTGAGTATGGGAGACAAACCGTTTTCATCGGTAGAAAAGATAAATCCCGATTCAGAGAAGACATCCATGTTTTCCTCCAGTAAGTGTTCCTGCACTGCGTTTAGAACGAGTCGTTGCGGTCTAGAGTAGAGGGGAGGCAAGCTCACAACACGGTCAATAAGACATTTGGAAGCGAAAATAAGATAAAAGAACGCCTGAAAATTTAGAACGCAAGAACGGAGAAGTAGGATTTTTTTGAAAACGAACTCAAATTTTATCGATTTAAATGATGATGCTAATGCTTACTTAGGAGTTTTCAAAAACGCAGTGAAAGCTTGTAGATGTACTTGACGTCACATTAGATTACTTCAAATGACTTTTGAGACCTATGATATGAAAGCAAAACAAATAAAACTACCATTACAGTCAATAATCAAACAAGATTTTTCGATCTAACATTGTGATGATGATAAAATGACAGACTGTACATAATGCTAAGCACTTTTTTCGAGTAAAATTGCCAAAATGACGATCATGAACACCAGAACATCAAAACGGCAATTACTGATTAAATACATAATGATTTACGAAATCCTAGGGCCCAAATCAAGATAGCAGGACAGTGATACGCAACTTACACAACGAGGGGTTGGCTGGTGAACTGGTGGTTGGCGCAAAGGTTCTCGAAGCGATGTTTCTCGTCACTGGCGTGCTGGTCAACAATGAAAAGGTCCTCTTCATGTTGGCACACAATGAAGCCCTTGTTAAATTGCCCGATCACACGCATATCCCTGAACCATTCCTTTCTAGTGAGGTAAAAGTAGATGAGAACGCGGTAATAACAAAAAACTGCAGAAATTGTGAACATGCATCTAACTGCTATCCCTACAGCCTATGAGTCATTTCCATGACTTGGGATACTTTCTACTAAAAGCAACCATGTTGATCCCTTTCCGTTTAACACCATTTATCAGATGGATACCTTCAAGATCCTATGAAAGCAATAAACGAATTAAATGCCTAAAACCTGCTGAGTAAGGGACAATGCCAAACTTTTGAGCAAACAATGCTCCAACTCGTTTAGAAAACGTTTGTTTCCACCCTCCCCGCTTACCGCGATGTATCCCAGGCAATATTTGCTAAAACACTCGTGAAACTCGTTTAAAACAGCGGATTTCTGCTGCTACGGTTACTAAGGCCAACTTATTGACAAGACGTAAAATTCTAGCTGAATTAATTACTGGAAATCATTTATAGACCCTATCAACAGATTACACACCTACTTCGTCCCAAAAGATACCAAAATGTTTAATAAATACAATGGATAAAATCATAAGACCAACATGCATTCACTTAGCAAAATCCATTCCGGTGATGGCAAAGTAAAAGATTTTCCCATTAACAGCAGCAACTGTCTCGAAATGAAGCAAAATATCTTTAAAATCCCATGTTTATGCAGATTCATTACTTAAGTGGAACTTTCAGGTGAAAAAAGTACGAAATAAACGCATTAAAACCATCACGAACTTAATTTAGGTGACATGTTTTGCGCCTTTAAAGTAATTGATTTGACCATTCCCAAGGTTTTATAGATGATTTTCTTAAGTAGCTCATCATTAAGAGATTTCAGAAAATTTCCAGATTTCATAGCAGTGATTTCGTTTCACAGGCAACTCCAACACATTCGTTGTTCATTCAAACTCAAAATTTGGAAAAATCGTCATCAAGACAGAAATTGTCCACACACTGATGGTGTCAGTGAAAGTCGAGCGAGCCTGGCTCAAAAGCGCCTAACAAACCCCGATCATTGTATAAGCCTCACTCACTCACCGAAAAATTGAAGTCAGTTCCGACTGAGCCGCTGACTCCGTCAGATTCGCGTGAAACTCACCAGTCGAAGGAGTTTCCACCAGTACATCTGAGCTACCCCTTGCCGCCCAGTACTTCAGCAGACGTCCCACAGAGAATTCCACGCGAACGCTTTCACGGTTGAGCAGAGGCTAGAAAAGAAGGGGTAAGCAGTGGAGACGACGTAACCCACCAAATGCCTGTTGTAGTTTCGTCTCGCCGAGTCGCTGGAGAAGACAGGCTTCTGAGAGGCAATCGGACTCGAAGAGGGCGTGGAAAGTCGCGGTTTTTTGCCGTTCTGGGATGAAGACTCAGGTTGTGGAGGGAGGTGAGCTGAGATGGGGGGCTGTTGGGTAAGTCCCACGGCTGCCTCCGATGCCGTTGCCACCGCCGCCGCCGTCGACGAGGAGACGGGGAGGTTGGCGATGCTCTGCTCCCCGTCGACGCGGACCAGTGTGGCAGTGAGAGCGGCCTTCAGTTTCATCACCACAGCGCGCTCCCAGTGCAGAAGGAGCTGCCGCTTGTCCGGTGACAGATTCACGTCAACCTTAGCTGAAAGTGACACCAAACTGAGAATAAAATTGCTATTCAACGTTGATGATTCTGCAACTTCCTTGCCATCCTGCGTTCCTCTTAAATGAATCGTTTCTGGCACTTTTCGTTCACAGTAGCAAGGGAAAACTGCCGTGTTCTAAAACAAATTTTTTTTCCTGAACTACACCGATTCATAGTGGGGGTTTAAAAACATTACGAGTTCGGAGTCAATGTGAATGAAACAAATTGTTTCAGGTTCTCATTTCTTAGAAGTTTGTTATACTTTTAGTTTAAATCGGACATTGAATTCCAATACCGAGTTGATGCCGAGGTAATGCCAGTTAACCTTTTCCGACTGTCATAATTTTTTGTAGCACAGATTTTCATGATGACCTAAAGCTTTAAAAAACAGTAATCCAGAAAATAAACCCTAAATTTGGGCCAATTTTCGGTAACTTTTGATCACGATATAATCGTTACAACAGCTTACTGTCGCATGCCCCATGAAGAATGCCAGTTGAAATTGAGTGGTAAAAGTGTAACAGGAGCGTGAAATAGGACAATTTTTGATACAAATTAATTTCAGCTTTAATCAGATCATTTGTATCTCACCACAAAACGTTGTCAAACGTTTATAAAACCATCAAGAAGCCAGATGCCCTAGGAGCGGCTGCGAAATGCAATGAGCAAGGAGAGTAAAATCACTTAAGAATGATGTCAAATTATTTATGTAATTTTCTCAAGGTCGTAATAGTTCCATCACCATCAGACAATCTACGCACACAAACGTAAAGTATTTGTTATGATTTCATATTGACCCCATAAAGTAGTATGTATTATATTAATTGGGAGTATTGGAGTTGCTGGAATAAAAACACTTTATTTACGGTGCAGAATATACAGTAAGGATTCTCACTGGTTTCACAACCAAATGGTTGCAGTTTAAGCCCAATGACTACTTGAACGAAAAACCAATCAAAATTTCAAACTTTTTTTGAAAAAATGACCGAAGCAAGACAAATATGAAAAAATAACTTTAAATACTGTATTAAATAAGCTCCTCCTTGCACTTCAATCACTGCCCCATTTGATCCTTTTGCCTGTAAATGGATCATGACCCCATGACTGTAATCAAAACTCATTGAAAAGGATTTAAAAATCAACTCTTACTCCCCTTCCAGAATAACATGCCATGTGAAGTCCTAATCTTTGCGGACAACTTAATAAGTCCAAAAAGAATCCATAGCACAGCCCTATGACAGTTGGAAGCATTTATTATAAAATACACAAATCTGCAGTAGAGCAATTGCCGCGTCTTTTAAAAAGAAAAAGATACAATAACTAATTTACTGCTGACAGCTAACCTCTGGGTAAGTTAATGAGGAGAACAAGGACCGGGAAAGCGGATGTGGTGCTTCGCGAGGGCATCCCAAGCGACTGCGACTTCGAAAACAGAGACTCGCGGCAACAACGACGCCAGACATCCGTGGCGAGACGAGTGAACTGCGGAAAGTCACAGGGACGACCATTGATGCTGACAAACTGTCGATCTGCAGAGGACCTGCCGACAACGTTAGTGCTGCCCATCGGGGGCATCGATATGAAACCGAAGATTCTAAAAAGGAGAGAATCCGGGAGGGCACTAACAGCATTACCTGATTTCATCTAACTCCTCGGCTGAAAGCTTCACTTTGTATTCCTCCTTAAGTTCATCGGTAACCACAAAGTCATTGGTGATTTCCACTAGAGATTCAAGCTGAAATCTCTGAAAATCAGGTAAAACATTTACCTGGGCTTGACCATAGACTGCCGCAATATTCGACGAAACCAATTCCCCTTCCATGTTGGAAACAACTAACGTTTTTGTTCTATATTAATGAAGGCTAGTAGATACAAAAAAAAGGCCTCTCACCCCTTCCTATCGATTCGATAACAGACCAACTGAACGCCAGTTACCATGAGGCAGTAACTCGAGATGAGAGCAATGGCTTGAGAAAATTCCTTCGACAAACGAGTCCGATCGGTGAGATAACGCCTGCGAACAGGGAGGGTGTGAAACAATCTTTCAACACAGACAGTGGTGCCTCGACTGCGTGCTAAGGGGCGACGAGATTTTAATCCTCCCGAATTAGTGAATTCTAACCGAGTACCGACTTTTGCCCGTTCAGTCCTGGTATGTATAGTAACATCACTAAAAGAACAATAAGTACAAGTGCTCTCGCCTTTAAAAGCATCAAAAAAAGTCTAACTCACGCTACTTGACACAGAGAAAAGATAGCCTCACCACGAAATCCAAAAGAGCTGGTTTTTGAAATGTCATTGAAATCCTGGATTTTTGAGGTACTATGGCTTTTACCTACCCGAATAAAATGGGTCTATAAAACAAACCAAGAGTTTCAAAATCGGCCTCATCTATGCCTAAACCGTCATCTACAACTTCAATTGAATCCGAACCATAGTTCTTCAGTCTTATCTCTACACACATCTCAAAAGTTACATTAAACTACCGATTTTCGTGGCCTCCGCATCAATTGAATTCTCAATAAGTTCTTTTATAGCAATACCCAGCGTAACAACGACTTGACTTGAGCATAATTTGTGGACAGATTGTGCATCAAGCGTTCTAACAGACGACATCTACACCCAACGAAGCACCTTGAACTTAGCTAAATACAGCGGGAGTCACAAGACAAGCTACCGGCGGGATTAGTGAAACAAGACTAATCTTTTGATATTATTATCAATTTCAGCTGAACACCAAATTAAATGCTCGTTTTCTTTCGAAATAAAGGGATGCAAAGTATTCTGCTACCTACGGTTAGTTATAGCATAGAAGGAAATGAAGACTTTAGGCTTCCACATTCCAAAGCATTTTTGTTTTGTACATTTATGTTTTACACACTGGACTTCACTTAGGTGAGCAATTATTTCACAAGTTTAGCATCAACTTTTATTAGTTTAAGAGCCTAAAATAAACCACACATTGCATGCCTTCTAGAGAGCCATAGATTTAAAAAACATAAATGGCACTTTGACTCTGCAACATTATGACAAAATATACACTCCTGGAGAGGTTGCGAAAATACTGCAAGGCGGAAAGTAACATCTCCGCCAAACCACTTAAAACTAAATGATATCTCTTAGGTCTTAAAAACACCCGAGTTAGTAATGTGTGAGGAATATGGTAAAATTTGCGTGGAAGGGATTCCAAAGCAATAACTTATCCATCGTAAAATGGATTAGTGAGTTAAGTATGCATAAAAAATGCAGCGATTTGTGTATGGTCGGAATAACAAATATGACTTTATGTGAAAGTCGTTAGGATCACAGCGTGCAAAATGAGTAGTAAAAATGTTTGCATATTTAGCTGAAATGGACAAGCAATAATGATATTTATTGGGAGAAAAGGCTCTTAATATGTTCGTAAACGGGCTTTTGTGCCGCTAAAATTTATGAATACAGCCAGATTTCTGCCTGCTCACAAAACATAGTAAATGATAAAATGTCTTAAATATATGTAGACCTTTGAGGGCCAGAATCTCATTATACTCACTCCTTTTTCCGGGTATTTTGGGAGTAACCACTTGACCTCGACCTTAAAATTGATTGCTATAGGATTTGTAGCGTTTTACATTTAAAAATTGCTGGTGCTCACGATCTATGGGAAAAACAAATATCATTTAAATGGCGTCGGGCATCGTTCAATTGACTAGAGCATTTGGATTTAGAACAGGGGTAGCCAATTCAATATCATTTAAGGACGAACATACAGTAATTTATCCTTGCGGTTCCAATCTAGTCCTCTATAATTTGGAGCGTAAAAGCCAGAAATTTATTCCAGGCTTAGAAAAAAGCAATGGAATGACTGCGATGGCAATGAGTCCTAACAGACGTTACGTTGCTATGGCTGAGAAAACCGATGGGGGACCATGCATAGTTATCTATGATCTTGCATCCCTTAAGAGAAAAAAGCTTCTTCGGGGAACAGGTCTTATTACAGAGGGATTCGTCAGCATCGCCTTTTCTTCCGATTCTTTATATCTCGTTGCACAGGGCGGGGGGCCTGACTGGATTCTTATCTACTGGCAGTGGGAAAAAGCGAAACGTCTTTCTACCGTTCGCACTTCACAGGGAAATCCAATTCACCAAGTAAGTGCCTTACCATTTGAAACTAACTGTCTGTCAGATATCAGTTAGTTTGCATGACAGTACACAACTTTGTGTTACGGGGAAAGATACTTTCCGTACTTACAAATACAACGAGGAAGTGATCAAACCCATCGGCCATTGCAAAGTTGACCTCCACAACTTTCTGTGCCATTCCTGGATAAATGATGAACGTATAGCTGTGGGCACCGAAAAGGGCACATGGATTTTGATTAATAATGGTGAACCTCTTGAAGAACATAGTATCAGTCGACACCTAAACAAGGATATTGAGCAGATTGACGATAAGGAGTAGGCTTTAGTTTACTAAATTTTTGTAAAAACAGTCCTATGGAGTGTTTGGTTAATTTTATCCCTTTATCTTAGGAGCTCACTTTCGAGTGAAATTCCAGGCGTAACATTAGAGGGTACGACTGCAATCGCCACCACATCCAAATTTGTATACGTGGCATGTGGTCCAGGGCTGGTACATTGCTACAAATATAACACTAACGCTGATAAAAATGAAGAATGTAAACCCGGCAGACAAAAGAAGTCGGCCATTGAAAATGCTGGCGAGGAGACGTCCTACTATTTTCGAGTTAAGGAGATCCGAATCCCAACTGATCCCAACATGAGTACGGATACTGGATTATCAAGCAATCAGCTCATCACTCAGCTTTGTGTAAGCCCAAAAATCACACGTAGTTAAATTTGAGCCCAATTGACTGTAATAAGCTTAATGTTTCTTCTAACGCAAACTTAGTAAGGTCGGTCATTTTGCAGCAGTATCTAGTTGTCATTGATAGAAATGATGAGCAACATTACGTGCAGCATTGATTGCAGGCAAAATTCTGTTGGCATGGGTTAAAAATGACAGTCCTAAAAATTTCTGAAATTATGGTAAATTGCTATGGTTACAAGTCTTAAAGCCTATTTTTCAAAACAGTTTATTTAACTCACTCTTTCATGGTCTTCTGTTTTATAAGTTTTAAACTAAAATTTCAAAAAATTTCGAGTGCTTGAATTTGTCCGTTTCGTACCAATTGGTTTTGAATGCCACCATTATTGCTAATTTTATCAATAATATACAATATATAACAATGTAATGAATTTTTGCGCATCAGATAAGATGTTTGCTGAATAGCGCTTTCATGATACTTATTCGTCGAAATGTCTTTACAAAGCTTAATTTAACCATTAAGGAAACAAGTATAGGTCACTTCAGTTAAATAAGTAGGCTTTAAAATACCTCACTTTGTCTTCCTTAGTATTTATCACAAATACATCCACACACAAGATATCTACTTCCTTGAATGGAAGTATTGGTTTGCAGTGTGAGAAATATTGCTTTCTCTGACGACAAAATTTAGTATATTTGTTATGAAATTTGCTTTCTTGTAATCATACAATATATTAAAATAATAATAGCAAGTAAACAGCCTTCTTTATTAGAATATGGAGGCTGAGTTGTACAGCACGACCGACGCTAGTTCATTGCTCTCCCCCACAGATCAATCCGTCAGAGGAGACGCTGATCGCGAGCACTGCTTCGCACCAGCTCTATGCCTATTCACTATTCACGTCAGAGTTGGGTGCAGGAGTCGGCGTGGTCGGAAGGGATGAGGAGGGTGACGGCAAAGCGGTGCGCATCGATCAGTCTACCAGGCGCCGACGCTTGTCCGTGGATGCTACGGTGGCGGAGGAGGAGGAGGAGAAAGGCATCGCTGTGGACTACTTCCGTCTTATGACGCAATCATTTCACGAGGGTAAAATCGTAGGCCTCGACATCTGCTCACGCAAACCCCTCATCGCCACCTGCTCTACTGATCACACTGTGCGTATCTGGAACTTTGAGACAAAGTGAGCTTCCTTACAGTTCTTACTGTCTAACCCGCCCAGACTCCTGCCATCACTGACATAAAATCAAAGTTACTAGCATAACCATCGGAACTGCAACCACCGACGTAACCAGAGCAATCGTTGTCACAACAAAAACATGTCCACCATCAAAAAAATCACCAGAAATACCACTTTTACTGCATAAGAACATGTATTTCTACTGAAACTGTCTCCACCTAGCTTAGCATTGCCGTACAGTCGTTATTACTGCTGCTAGTACCACTATTATTGATACCATTTTAATGTTTTTGCTCTTTGCAGTAAGCTTGAGCTCTATAAGGAGTTTGCAGAGGAAACCTACAGCATAGCCTTGCATCCCTTGGGTCACTTCGTTCTAGTAGGCTTCAGTGACAAGTTGCGCCTTATGAACCTTCTTATCGACGATATTCGAACCTTCAAGGAGTTCCCCATTCGTGGGTGCAAGGAGGTAAGTTTTGCAAGCACAAGTCCATGTAGGTAGCACCGTACACAAATTAGTGATTTTCATGACGTTTGTGTCACAGTAAAAATGCTAACAGTGGAATCACAGAGATAATAATTTTAAGAGGAAGAAATTATGGGAGAAAAGGATTAGAATGGGATAATTTAATTTAGTACATTAAATGCATAGAGTATTATGAGAAACTTAAGGCTATAAATCAAAAGAAAAAGATGAGCGGATTAAAATTTTAGAGACTGGTGACCCAATAGAAGTGTATTCATTTCAAGAAACCATGGAAGAACTAAACTCAACAAATTCCGACAAATTTTTAACATCAGCTCAAAATCTTTTTAAAGGTTATTTTTCAGACTTAAAGAGCCATGAATAGCATGCAGTGGAATCAAAACCCACAAAGCGTTGGAAAAAGAAAACATTGAAATTTGACCAAAAACATTCAGTGACATCTCTAGGAAACTTACGCTTTGGGTTTGCCAAAGTGAATTACTTTCGAAAACCGCAAAGACCCCGGATCAGATTGAACCACACTTTTGCTCCTGAGCGATAGTTGGAGAGCAGTTTAGTTGGCCAACAAAATAAAGCAGATCTACGACAGGGCAACTTAAGAATACAAATATTACAATAAAAGCACCCCTTAAAATACAGTTGCAAAAATATAGGCTGTAGGTTTTTACGCATAACTTTCAATCATTTAAAGAGGCGTATCTTCAATCAAACTTTGGTTTCGTTCTAGAGATTTGTTCAGTGATTTGCATTTAGCATAATTAGCATTGCGATACCTTCAGATGAATTAAAAACCTTAATCATGACTTTGATGGGAAGAAGGATGTACAGTGTTCTTACACCAGTTTCAAATAATGTGCCGAAATTCAGTTTAACAGAATACTATCATGAATCTAGCTGTAACTGTGGTGAACATTCACATGCTTCGTTCCCTCTTGCAGTGCGCATTCAGTAATGGTGGGCATCTTTTCGCAGCGGTGCAGGGCAATAACATTCAGCTCTACTCCTCCACAAGTTTTGTCCTCATCAACACACTGAAAGCGCACAATGGGAAGATCCGTTGTTTGCTGTGGAGCACAGATGACAACAAGCTCATTTCCTGTGGTATGGACGGTGCAGTCTACGAGTGGGACCCCTATACCGGCAAGCCGCTTATTTTAAATGCATTATGACTTATTTTCTAGATGTTTTTCTTTGAACGTGAAAAGTGTTGCAATGTCCACCCCTCTTTTTACTGAAATTACCAAAAACTTTCTTATTTCCACTTTCTACTTTAGAAATAACTGGTTTTTTTTTCGGGATTCGGCGACTAGCGCAGTCTTTAATAGGCTGCAAAGTCAGATCTAATAGTTAAAAGGCATTTTCTCTATTCCTATAATCTGGAAACTCAACAACATACACAACTTGTTCAACGCTTTTACTGAAATCCATCATATGGTGATTATCACTTCTAAAATGTTTATAATGAACCGCCAAATACGCTCATAAGGAATTTAAGTAGGGGTAAAAATGAATTTGATGTGGGATCGTAGGCCCTCATTTTTGCTACCCAAATGTACACTATCTTATCATTGAAGTAGGTACAAAATAAATTTCAAATATTACCGTTTCCTCTTTATTCATCAGTGTATTGTGTTCACTTGAAATGAGCTTAAATTTGAAACGATTTGCATAAGACATATATTTTTTTCGTAAATTGCAATTTAGCACTATTATGAGTAAAAAATAAGCCAGGTTTTGAGGTTTTAGGCAAAAGAGTGAACGAAAACGTGATGAAGTCATGCAGTTACAGCTGTGTCACAGCCACAGAGGATGCCAAGACGAGCTACGCTGTTGGGTCGGACCGTAAAGTGAAGGAGATAACAGATTCTACCGTGCGTTTAGAGCATTGCTGCAATCTTGCCTACTAGTGCAACTTTAGTAAAATCTACAGTGACAAACTAATTTTCCGCCAGATAACATTAGAGGTGGATTCTGAGGACATGCTGCTCACAACGATCGCGCTATCACGCAGCGGTCGAATACTTATTTGTGGTGGACAGGAGGGCCACGTGCGCTCCTACCGTTTTCCCTTTTCGAACCACAACATTTGGGAAGATTACGTAGGCCACTGTGACTCAATTGTGAAGATGCGAATCACTCTAAATGACGAGTACCTCGTCACTGTTTCCAACGACAGCTCCATCATGGTGTGGGTGCTACAAGAACGGGACACTCGAAATGTAAAAATTGAGAGAGATGTATTGTGGGCTGAGGAGGTGCTCATTACTCGCTCCGATTTGGAGGAAAAGGTGAGTGGGAAGTGGTATTCAAAATGTGATTGGTAGCTGAGGCAATACAGGGTATTAAAAACTCAGACGAAACAGTTGCTAACATTATGAAAATATTCGATGCAAAGAGAACACAAATGGATAAAGGCTATAAGAGTAGTGAATACCCTTATGCAAAAATTTTTTGTTATTGTTTGAAAGAGAAGGCATCAACCCTGAAAATGGTCGTTTCATTTGGTTTTAACCTTATGTCCAAGTGACGTGGACCTAAGTAACTATAATAAGTAATTTTTAGACAAAAATTTAAGTACCAAATAATACTATACCGCTCATTGCCACGTTAATGAATTCTAATTAATGCATTTTAAGTTTTTAGGTTAAGAAACCATAGATTTGTTAAAGTGAACTCCATTCTTGTATAATTTACTGTTTTGTCGATGAGAAAATTTGGTAAATCTATTGGAGACATGGTCAGAATTCCACGTTAGATTACAACTTCAGCATTTCATTCTAGGCTTACGACTTGGCCTCTAACTTTAGGGTACCAGTTGGCCAACTTTTGGAACAATTTTTGCTGGTAGATTTGTCGTATTCGTCGTTTTAAAAACTGCATGTTTGTTGAAGGGTAAGAACCAAAAAAGTGCAGTTATAATCAGGTACTCTTACTGGCCTAAATGGCCGAAACCCACTAAAAATAACCTACTTAAGAGGTTTATTTGATTTTTAAGCATTCCCTTGATGTGAAAAATGTTTATTATGCTCCTCGAAGAGCTAAAACATTGTTTATGGCACTCAAACTATCTCCGATGCCATATGAGTTACACAATTATAGAAATGATTCTATTTTCTACGCAGGGAATGGTTGAATGGCAAATCGAATTGTAGAAGATGGGGGCCATCATTCGCATTATTTTACGTTGAACTTCAGGTGATAAATTGCGTGATTTTTCAACTTGGACATAATTTATTGCCTCCAGAATATGGGAATGTTAGAGCTAAGGACACGCGTGGATGAGCTGAAGATGGAGAACGAGTATCAGTTGCGTCTAAAGGATATGAACTACAGCGAGCGCATCAAAGAGTTGACAGAAAAGTTTATCAAGGAGATGGAAGCCCTCCGTGTGAAGAACCAGACTCTGCAGCTAGAGAAGGATCGCGAGGAGGCACGTCACAGTGAGGAGAAGCAAGAGATAATGGAGTTGCACAGCCGCGAGCTCAAGGAGCTCGAGATTACCTCCAGTCAACAGATGAGTCTGGAGGTAGAGAAGAATGCCGAGTTACAGGAGAAGGCGCAGAAGATGCAGGAGTCCTACGAGAGTCAAATTGCGGAAATGACCACGGCGAAGGAGAAGATGTTGGAGGAATTGACAACGTTCTTCGAGACCAAGTTGAATGAGAAGACCCAGTTAATGGAGGTCCTGAAGAAAGAAAATAGGGAGCAAGTGACAGAGCATGAGGTGACCAAGAGGTTGATTGAGGAGGACGCCGACAAAGAGATTTTGGACCTAAAGACGCAGTACGAGCGGCGGTTAAGGGAGGAGAGAGAGCTGATTGCGCGTCTACGTGGAGAGTCGGGTATCATGAAGAAAAAGTTTGCCAGTCTTCAGAAGGAGATCGATGAGCACATGGAGGAGTTGAAGAAGTCTCATGGAGAGACTCAGAAGTTAAACAACGTGATTCGTGGCCAAGAGCGCGATATTCAGGGCCTAAAGAAAGAGATTCAGGAGAGAGACGAAACCATTCAGGATAAGGTGAGGGTACTGTTCCCACAAGTCATTCACCCTTCAAGTTATATGTGATCAAAAGTAACTCATAATATAAAAGCTTTTTGTTGCCTTGGCAATCAGTGAAAATGCGAAATTCGAGTAACTTTAAAGTTAAAAGTTAAAATAGGCCTTAATTTTAACGGAACAATGGCGATCTATTCTTTCAACTGATTTTTTAAAGCTGTTTAAAAGAAGAACTTCGGTTTTACCTACAAAGGGCTTTTAAATTCATCTGTCGAAGTGGGCGAATTTTTTAAGTGTTTGGCATATGCAGTTTCACTCTTTAGTAACATTTAAATTCATGCCTCTTCTATGGAAGACTAATGTACTATTTATAGCTAATAAGAGATTTTGGCTACAAAATGAAGCTTAAGCGCCTTAGCTAATGAATTTCTCTCCGCAATTCTGCAAATTGATCCGGATGACTTGAATAAATTTGAATCTCTCTACTCATTAACTCCTACATTCAGCATTTGAAAATAGGAGGAATCTATTTCTAACATGATAAACTTTGCTTTCATTATTCATTTAAATCAAACGGCTTCAAATTCCCAAAATCCGGTAGTTTATCAAAGGAAATGTATCCATATATTTAATTAGGCATTCCATGCTTTTAAATGGTCCTACCAACGAGCACCAGAATTTAGTGTCCTAAGATCAACCGCTTCCTAGGACCTTAAATATAAATGTTTCCGCTGTATTCTAGGAGAAGAGGATATACGACTTAAAGAAGAAAAATCAGGAGCTAGAGAAGTACAAGTTCGTGCTCTCCTACAAGATAGCCGAGTTGAAACAGCAGATAGAGCCTCGGGAGAATGACATTAGGAACTACAAGGAGCAAATTCGGGAGGTATGTTGTTCGCCTTTGCCTCAAACACGTTCACGCAGAGAGGAAGGACGACGAGATGTCACGCAAAGCCATAGTCTGTGGGTGAGGGGCGGAGGTGAGGAAGGAGAAATGAGTAATTCACGGAAAACTGTCCCGTTTTTTAATGATTCACTTACACTATGGAAAGGGTCGTGCTGTGTGGGTAGGGTGATGAGGCATGGGAATGGCGATATAGAGGGGGCTCAGTTATATGTTTTTACTTGACAGACGTCTGTTATTTGGTCACATATCTGCCTCGCTAAACAGTCAGTAGATAATTGCAGGGCTTTCCCCAAAATCACGTCAGCTACTACAACACGCAAAGGTGGCCGGGCATAGCTATTTATTTTTCGTTGACTTCACTTTCGTTTTGTCACCATAAAAAAGTGGAAGACCTAATAGCTTTTTTCAATCATATGTCGTTACCCATGAAGTCTTCTACTCATTTTAACCATTCATTGCGATATAAACTTTACCAGATTTGGAAGTTTTTTAGCAAAGAAAAATTATTTTTTAATCCACCGCACTAAATGCAAATGGGTAATGACTGGCCTTCGGGGAATATTGCTAGCTTGCGCTGCCCTAGTTTATTGAAGAACTGCCCAAAATCCCCGTAGGTGATAAAATTCTGCAGAAATTTTCTACCGAAAGTAGGTCAGCGGAGCAAAACTTGCTTTTGGATATGTAACATCATTTTAAAGATGAAACTGTTTCCCGGTTACAGTGGAGGCTGTTGATCGTATTTGGTGAAGAGTTCACCACCAATAGACTAGCATAATAAGTGTGCAATTTTCCCAAAGTTGGCCCATAGTTTTCCAATGGAATCGACTTTGACATGCTTAACTGAGGGTGGCTACTGCCAACAATCTAAGTTTGTAATTGATACGTTTTTACTTAGAGACGCGTTCATGAATTCATTCAAGGCGGAAAACTAAGTTCGTGTAAGTTAATCAAGGCATATAATCCATTTTCGAACTGTCAACCAGTAAGCTATTAACGAAACTTGATAATTTAATCGGCCGAATTCTTGAAGTGGTACTTCAGCCGATCTCACCTCTATTTTTCGCTCAACAAACGATATTAATGCATGATTTTCTTTACTGGCTGCAAATAATCTCGCAACAACTGCTTTATGTCTGTTTCATCTATAAACTAATTACAGGTAATCCTGTTATAGTCAGAAGGAAATACGCTGCAATTACAATCGCATTGGATAGTGGGTGCCAAATTACCACCACAGCTCAAAAGTTTTACTACTTTAATAAATCTCTGGTACTCAAAACTACATCAGACGTAGTTAGCAATGGAACAAGAACATGCTAATTCCGTTGCCTTGTTCTTATCCCAACCAATCTATTTGTGACGTGATTTGGTGCAGTGTCTTAGTATGAACCGGAAAAGAGTGTGTGAATGTGTCACGATTCCGATCAAGAGTGGAAATCTAATCTGCAAATTGTATTTCTCACCTGAAGTCTACGGCTCTAAATTAACGTCTTACGATTAGATCGAGAAAGTGCCATATCCGGGAGGAGCTTTGGTGTCTACAGAAAAATAAGTTTGAACTGTGTAAGCAGATGGAATTATTTCCGTATAGATGCTAATCTACTATGTCTTGCTGCCTTACAGATGGAAAGTGAACTGGAACGTTTCAACCAACAGAATGGAGCCTTGGATCTTAGCATCGAGGAGTTGAAAGAGAAGCTCAAATCCACCGTAGGCGAGCTGAAGGCAGAGCGTCAGCTAAGACGCAATATCCAAGCTACCGTTCGGCGCTTCCGCATCGATCTCTACAACGTTGTTGGCAAGATTCAGGAGCCCAAAGCTCTTAAGGAGAGCATCGTTGAGCTCTATAAGAAACACATTCAAAATGATGTGGTAGGTTACTGCGAAATCATTCTTCCTATTTCTTGAAAGACATTTTGCACGAAGGTCGTATTTTATTGGAAACGCTAGTTTTGTACGGGCGCATCTAGGAGATACTTCGACACCTTTAAGGAGTCAATTTAAGTTGTGCTAATTGTCTCGTTGAAAGCGTTTTGTATACCTACCTCGCATAGTGTGTGGAACCAATTCTGCACAAAATGCTTTAATTATTTCGGCTACTGAGATCAAGACCCAACGAAAGCTCAGTTCTCATCCCTTTGATGAATTTTAACAAATAAAATTACTAGCCGAATATTTATACCTAAGACAAGATCTGTTCGCATCCCATCTTTCTCCATGAATATTAATCTTTTAAACAATGTTTTCTGACATACCTTTTAAGTTGCACTGCACCTCTAGACTGAACGATGCACTAGATTAAAGTAGTTTTATTCTACGGAGAAAGTGCTTTTTAAATAAAAGTGATTGGTCTCAGAAGTGTGAATAAGAGAATGTGAAGATTGTGGAAGGAAGAAGTTATTTGTTGAAATCCATTATTGATATTTCAAATTTGTGCCAGTTAACTAAAAGTGTGCTAGAATAGTGGTGTCGTTCCTACACACAGTCAGGCCAAATGCGCAACAGTACTTTGTTTTGTTTTTGCACGGATATTGCTCTATGATTGCTTCCTCCTCCTCACTAGTAAAATTCAAAGCAAAGGGCCCGTTTTTAGATCATTTTACAACAAAATTAACTTTAGTAGGGTTTCCAAGCTTTTGAAAAGCGAGGTTCTGTAGGTGTCTAGTTGGGGTTCATGTTTAATCACTTTAGCGGTAACTCGAATAGCAGAAGAGTTATACATGAAGAAGACGAAATGTTCCTATGAAACTTTGGCATAGCGGCTTAAACTATGCATGAAGCACAGCCAGATATTTATTTAAAATGCACAATACACTTAGGCAAAAATCTACAAAATAGTTTATCCTAAGAATTAGTAGATTTTAGGGCTTACCCTAGGTAATCTAGGTTACAGAAAAATCGGTCAAAACTAAATGGACCTATAAGATTTTTTGCGAACTTTTAACCACAAAAATTAGAATTCTTCGAGGGTTCTTTTTCTGCGTCTTTAGTACGCTACTTTTTAGTGCCTAACTGGAAATAATTCCGAATTCCGAGTTTTCACCTGTGTGAAACGTAAGAATGGTTATTTGAGCCTAACATAATGTCTGTGAAATGGTTGTGGTGTCCTAAAAATTAAACCAAAGTCATGGCCTGCTAAAGTTCCCATTTCATCAATTTGTTCCATAAGTATAAGTGAGAACAATAGCCCGGATAGTGGCAGCTCTGAAGGAAATTGCTTGTTCTATCTGCTTAATTTTACCCATACTAAGCTAAAAGCTTGAGTCGCACGTGGTCTCAATTGTTACTTGCTTCCAAGGGTTAGGTGCACGTCCATTAATGCAATTTACTCTGCAAAGCTTTTTAGAGTAGAGATTTGAAAGATTTGCTTTTAAGTGGTAGTAATTAATTTCTAAAAGAGAGGTTAACTACCACCTATTTATCGATGAGTGCGGCACAAGTCATGGAAGAAAAGTCGTGTATCCTTCGGAAATCTAGCAGTAATTATAAACACCGAACCATGGGTATACGAAAACGGTTTCTAGACCGTGGCTACTCTGTTAGAATTCTACTGACAATAAAGAATAAAATACCCTAATCTACCAGCGCTAATAAGCGCTTTTTATTTTTCGTTCTCAAAACATTCAGCAACCTCTTCACATTGGTGAGGTAATGCATTGTTTGGACCGTTAACGTGTTATCTTATACGCAGAGTTTTCTCGTTACGCAACAGTTATTTCTGCAGGTTGCGTGTTGTGCAAACAACCAAATTTGTTTTCACCTAACTTTGACTTTTCCTCACCTTTATATTTGAGTACAAACTAATAACAATGGTTTTATATGACCATTGTTTCTACGTCCATTGTAGAAAAAAGAGTTTCTGAAGCTAATTATTCTTTGCCCAGGTTTCATTCACAAAAAAAAGAAAATCAAGACTTCTTCCTCCAGATTAGTGAAACTTTGTTAGTTATTCGCCTTTCGTTAAAATAATTCGTTATTTTTTCGTTTAGAGAAACATTTGGCACAAAACTAATGAGTAGTAGTGAAAACCGCGACAATGATCGAAGTGAAAATAATTATTTCACAGGCACGGCCAATAAATGAAAGGACGCACTCTCGAATTCGTGATTTTGCTTTTAAAAATATGCTAAAGAAATGCACTGCGAAAAAAGTTAAACGGTTTCTTTTCCCAAAAGGGGAAATAACCACCTAGGCTTCGTGAGTAGCACGCCTTTTCAGGCACTTTGATAAATAATAAGATTTTAGGATTGTAATATTGGTGCTCTGATCGCTGGACCCAAAAAAGTCACATTTGTGTATAAGTGAAGTTCTCCGTGAAAATAACTGGGGGACTCACTGCTTCGCTCAGCTTGTTTGGATTTAAATGAGGTTACTTTTTTTCATGGGGTTTTAGCCTCCCAAGTTAGTTTAAATATCATCAGATTACTGGTAAACATTAAATATGCCGCCATGCTATTAACATTATTTGGTCGAAAAGGCTCCTTTTCAAAGCATATGTTAGAAAAGTTCTCTATTCTGGGCAGAAAAATGTGTGACTTTGAAGGGTTTGACATGGCCACTTGACATGATAAGGAATCATGTTGTTCCAACCCAAGTTTAGCAACAAAAACCTTAGCCTATCAGGTAGCGAACGGCTCGCAAATTCCGCTACTACAACTTAGGGGCCAATTCACTACCTGCGAGCTAGTTAAACATTCCATTTACAGGTTTTATGCATTGCCATGTGCATATGCATGCCTCGCTTTTATTTGTATCATTTCAAATTCTGATTTTTCCACGATTTCACCATTTTAAATGCTTGAAGAATTTTTCTCATCATCTAGAAAGTACATTTCTATGTAAGATATGAGAGTTTAGAAAAAGTGGAACATAAACATCATGAAACAACTCAGTGGCAAGTTTGACAGGGGATAAACAAGAATATTGAATAGTTTTACAATAATAAAACTATTTCATTGACACGATATTGGATTGGAGCAATTCAGGGGTTGCAATTCACCCTCTGATTTACCGTCTGCAAACAGACAGTGGTGATGGAATGATCACAGGGAAAATCCTCCTTAAGAGTCGTTTTGTTTTTGTTTTCTTCAATGAGTAACCTAAACGTCATGCATCAATAAACCATTCCATGCCTTGAATGGCAGCATCAAATTCACAGGCGTTGTTCTCTGTCGTCATTCAACGTCCGGCATTTCGCACAATGTTAATCCTGAATACATGTGAGGATATGCATTAATCCGGTGATTGTTGTGAACACGTCTCTAGTGGTGGGCATTTTAAGCCAGTCCCCGTTATCTCATGCTGCTGTTTATACAGATACGCAGAGAGATGACTAAAGCGAAAAAGACGTCGTAATTAACATGGTTGGTGGAAAAAAATTCTCTGTGGTGCATGTGAAGGAAAGTGAGGCAGTGAAGTGGGAGTTACTGGAAATTTACCAAGGGACTAGTGTCCGGTATTGCTTTAAAAAGTTCCCTGTGGGTGTTGCCACACTCACATTTCCGTATACAGTGTTTGACGAGAACTACTGTGGAAAACTCATTAGTGGCTTAGAAAGTGAATTAGTTAGTTGGTTGGTGAGTTAGTCGGGAGGGAAGGTGTTTTCAAAGGTGGAAAGGACAATCTATAATGCATCACTTGACAGAAACGGCTCTCTTTTGTACACGGAAAGTTGTCTCAGGTGGAAAGACGATGTGTTTGAAGGAATGCATGCTCCATAACGAGATCAATCGACGCTTAGTCTGATGTGGGATTCATGCTAAAAATCCCGAGAGGCCAGAGAAATGTGCCACGATAGAGAGGAACAAAAGGTCAGACAAACACGATAAACAGTGCCTAAGAACCCATCTGAGGTGGGGTGTTTTTGGAAGTGGCGTATACTAACAGGCGGAGTATGTGAATTCTCGACGGTTTCTCTACTAATGTAGTTAGTAATAAAATTGCACTGTCAAATTGCCTTCATAAGTTAACTCCTTTAAATTCACATAATCTGACAGACACTTTTTACTATTGGAGTATAATAACTTATTTCTCTTTCTACAAGAAATGCGATATCGCCGTACCCCCCAATGATTGCACTTTAAAAATACTAAAAGAAAGTTTTACGTGGTTTGAAAATAGCCATTCAAAGGCGTAAATAAAATCTATTTATGGAAATGATCAAAACAAACATTTTTCTCTTAAATGTTGCTTTGGACATTTAAATGGACTGATTAAAAGTGTTTCCTTAAATCTGTAATCTCTGCAAAACATTTACTTCCAAAAACAGAGCTTCTTGTAAGTGAAATGCATTGAAGCATCTCTGGTTTGTATTCGCATCCAATTTTTCCCCTGGAACCACTTTGATGGGAATGTCATTAGGTGCCATTAGAAATTTTCCAACCATGACAAAACCACATTACTGCATTAGTGTTTAAAAGTCAAGAATGTTTGCATTCCGAAGAGATTATTAACATAAATGATACGGTATAGTATTAGTACTATCATGTCAACCTTTTTGCTGACTAAATAGTAGGAAAATCTCCAACTCCTGCTATGTCTGAAAAACCGACCAGATCTAAAGAACAAACTCAAGACCTTATGGAAAACTTGCTCATGGTATCGTAAGAAGATTATCTTTTCTGCATGCAGATGCAAATAGGTGAACTATGATTAGAAGCCAAAACATAGTTAGACACGTCTATCAATATATTTTGCATTTAAACAGGATTTAAAGTGTTACGCTTGTAGGTCTCCGAGGTAACACTCAACGAAGAAATGCAACGTGAATTCGCACGTCAAAGGGACCACCTTGAACGCACCCTGGCTGGAGTTCGAAAGAAATTAGCCAAAGACACCGTCATCCACAAGAGTGAGTTCGTCAGAATCATGCACGTAAGTACCCTCCGCATTTCAGTCAAACTACCACGACTTACAAATCGATATTTTTGAATGCATTTGAAAGGCATTATTCTGCAATAAAGTCCGGCACAAAAGTGGCAGCAGACTTCCTGTCAGCCGGTGTGAGCAGAATTAACAATGGAGACCACGGTGATTCCCTGTGAAAAAGAAAGCTTTGTTTAATGTAATACCGAAACAAATTAATCAGGTTGTGTGCCAGTGTATGTTTATTTTCCATTTCTCTCGGCAAACAAGCCTCCTATTCATCATCTCTCTCCCACGGGTATTGAAAGCGGACTTAATTTACGTTACATGGACTTGCAGGCAGAAACTGCTTTAATCAACCTTATGTAACGAAGTTGATCTCAATAGCGGGAACAAGTAATCTCGTCGGTTGGTGGTTTTGCTGGAGCACTTTGCCTTGCTGAAAAGTCATTTACTGCTTATAAAGAGAACAAACTTTACTGGATACATTTAATCAAGTCAGGTATATATCTTTTGCAGATTGTAGTAAGTACCCACCAAAAGTCCAGAGGAAATGTTAACCAGCGTTATTTATGATAAAATGAATGAGTTATATGTGAGAATCACAATAATCTAAGAAATCAGTTATTAAAAATGTATCGCTGCTCAAATGCCACACTCCCATGGTTTACAGATAATTCCTAGTGGTAAATAAAGGATGACGACGAAGCTTTGATGCAGCCAGTATTTCACAAACTTATAAAGGTGTGAATGACAATTCCATTTTATAAAGAAGAATGTCGCTTTTTAGTAGACTTTGACTGTAGTGGGTACTTTTCCTACCACTTTGTAGTTTGTGTGGACCCTGGTGCCGTAAGGCTCTGCTGATTTCCTTAGACATCCAAATAACTCATTTGATGTGGTACAAGACTTACAAAAACACGGAATTTCAATGCTGTTCCTCTGTACTCTTCCCTTTGCGTCTTGCCAAATAGTACATATGTTCCTTTTCCTTCCTGACTGATCATTCATTTTACTATCCCCATTGGTCGCTTTCTTTGAAACTTAAATTTGCAACCTAGATAACATTAACATTAGTCAAAATGCTATCTCGAATCATTCTGAGGTGAAATCTCAATAGTGTTAGCATTGTGAAACCTTTAGCTTAACACTTCATCTGATGTTTTGCCTAAGTTCGGCGTCACTGATCTAAAAGGTTTATTGCATGGAATTACATCATGTCACCACGATTTTTGAGCCTAACTGTACAGTAGACAGGCAGAGCTTGAAACAATTCCGATATGGAGACTGGCGTCATACTAGAATTTAAAATCCTTGGTCTCTGGTGTTCCCTATTTTGGGACTCTAGGACCAAACGTACCGAAAATATGTTATAGTGCTCGACCTCCAAGTATGATCTGTAGACTAATATATTTGTGTATTTGTTTACTAGAGACACTCAATTGTAAAATTCTATCCGCAAATCTTCTAAATCGCACGAGTTTAATAAAACATTATTGTTATTACTCTTGGGTAGGTATGTGCCAATAAATGACGATAATCCCTTCATCCCCGCCTTTTCCGTCTAGAGCCAATTCTTGTTTGAAATTAACATCCTTACCAATGGCGATTCTCTAGAAAAGTAACAAAGAATGTCAATTATGTAGTGCCTTCACGTTACAATTACCACCGCAAAAACTACGGATATGATAAAGTTGTTAAATTTTGTCCCAATTCCCAGTCTCTCCTTTGTATTCGTTGAAGCGCGTTTTGTGGATTGAAATTCTGATACTGTAGGACTAATTTAAGGCAGTCGTTAGCATTTCCTTGTTCCCTCTATTTGAAGTAGTGCATAACCTATGCTAGGTGAAAACACATTTCCTATTTCACTGTAACGAGTGCTTTACTCGCGTCCACGACATTCACCCAAAGCCATCTTCATGAATATTAATCAGAATGATGCAGAAGGATATTGCATGTTTAGCAATGCGCATCTTTTCAGTCTCCTGTGACTCGGCTCTCACTTTAGCAGGAAGCCATGGTAACGGTCCCCAGCTCTGCATGTTGAAAATAAAACTACTTCCAGACTGATATGCCTTTTAGTATCCCTTGAGTAAAATTGGCCTTAAATCATTATTCAGGAGAATATGTATCTGATTGAGGAAATCAACAAGCTACGCGTGGAGTTGCGCAACTCGCGTCATCGAGTTCGCGATCTAGAGACAACGATGGGCATCAACCGGAAGCAGGGCAATCGGGCGCGCGAGATCCTAACGCAGGTCACGGGTCATCGGCCGAACCCGGTGATAGTAGCGGAGCTAGCTCAGGCTAACCGTACGCTACACGAGCAGTCTCACTTCATGCATCTCCTGCAAGAGCGTCTGCGCCTTGGAGCGCAGTACTGCGTGGACAACGCGAGCAACGCAACTGCTGGAACTCTCCCACCTCTAGCTCCACCTCACATCGCTAATGGTGGGGGGAGGGAGGGGAAGAAGAGGCCTGCTACAGAACCACAGTCAGCGGAAGAGGCATCCTCGGTGCCTAAGGAGGCGACGCCGAGGGCCCATTCAGTAACGTAGGCCACGTCTTGAGGACGAGAAGTACATGTGAATGCATTTGTACTTCAGTCTTCTCTGAAAGGCATACATTAGAAAAGATTGTTATGCTACTTATCGGTGCGAAAATTCGATTGAATCATGGAATAAGATTAATGGATTTAGTGGAACATAAATAAGCCAGAGACTGTTCTATTCGTAGAGGAAAAAATATGTGGAATACATAGCCTTTACACCTTGATCCCGGTTTGAGGAGCATGAACTATGACCAGAAAGAGTGACCTTAGTTCGCGATTGCGACATATACCGAATTCGTGTTAACTGAAAAAATATGCGTTGTGTACTATTTTGCTTCCAACATCGCTTACTAATTTTGAATGATATACGCTTAAATTTAGATTACTTTTTCACTATCTAATTTATGGGAAATACAGAAAATGGATGTGTCATATTGAAATTGTTCCAGCTTATAGCGCAACAACTGACCATGGAAAACAATGTTATTAAAAGATAATCCAAGGAGGGGCTGAAGGTACGACATCACATACACATGAATGAACGTTCCATTTGTATTCAGTGGGGAGGAACGTGTTCAAACGTGTCGGTGTTTAATGATGCAACATTGGAATAATACAAAATCTGAATTTGGTAAAGTTCTAGGTCATAACAAACTTCTTTTGGTGGCCATGAAAGCCCTTTGCCAAGAAGTAGCTTATTAAAGGCTGCGTAAATATCTGTCGATTAGATAGAATCAGTATGTGTTCCCTATTCATAAATCTAAATCAAATGTAAGCTATCAATTAATGAATAAAAGTAGACTGTAATTAACAGAATAAAAGGACGCCCATTAAAAACGGGTTGACCAAATCAAGATCTTCTCGAAAATTTGCGGATAAGGTCATACGTGCAGAAAGTCGTCAGTATTCGCATTATATCTTTACATTCAAAGCAAGTATCAAATGAAGAGGAACATTGTGAGGAACATTGCTAATAATGCATGAAATTGTACAATGTGCATTATTTATTAGCTATCCAAATTAAGGGTGTGTTATTTTTAATTCAGACACTTCAATGCGACAGGAGGGTGGATGCATCATTGTAATTTTTGAGCGAAAAAAGGTCGGACCCTTTTAAATTACTTCAAAACAAGAGGAAAGCGTAATACCACTTTTGATAGCGTCAAGTTTTTTCAAATGCAAAATAGACCTTTTACGTAGATATGGTTAAGTTTCTTCCTTTTTGAAAATAAATGTGTGCAAGCCATGAGGACATTCGAAATACCATTAACCATGCCGAGTGAATACGCAGACACTTCTCCATTTCGAGGGTTCAAGAGAACTGCAGTTAGCTAGACTGACAAATGGATAAGTTTTTAATAACATTCCGACTTAACAAGTCAACGCCCTGATGTCTGGTGGTGTTGCATAAAAAAAGCCTCTTAGGGCGTCACCCTGTTTACTTTCCCTAGTAAAATGATACCAAATACATCAGGTTGTGGCAGAATTTTGTCTTTTTCCCACAATTACTAGTATTTTCATTTACTTTAGTATCAAGTTATGACATAAAACAAGTTTTGGGGTAAGTTTTGAATAAAAGGAACACCCTTTTTAAACATTTGAAAAGCCTTTTTAATGATTGGGGTAAAATATTGCTGCAATCATTTTTTTTCAAAGCAGTTTGCCAAATTCTCATGTCTGTTTTTACTAGGCTACGAATGCATGCATAGTTTGTGGGTTGACCTGCCCCCTGTGGGAATCTTATCAACATTTGACTACAATTGGTGCAATTATCCGTTATAAGTACTTCGTTTAGTCTGAAAATTACCAAATCAACATAAATTTTGAACACATTATTCAGTAAGCGAAGCTGTTTAGCCCCGTAAGGTGTCGGATCATTAGGTGAAATCTGTAAAAAAGTCCACATTTGGGAATCCCTAACTTTTACATCCTCGTAATTTTTCAGGAAAATATAGGATTTGTCTGAAGTTGACTCCAGTGAGCTAAACCTACTGTTTTCTATGATGAGAAGGAAAATAAAATACGTTTTTTTATGGGGGATTTTGAGACTAATCCTACTGAATCGCTTGTGATTTTTAAATAAATGCGGAGATAACTACTGCTAGTTATCTGGAGGATGATAAATATTCAGAATGGTTATTATTTTGGCCCACTTGAAGTCTACCAAGCAAATGGTGCTCGATGAATAAAGCATCAAAAATCTAGGTCTCGCACCTCTCAAAATCTATCATCATTGAAACAGAAAACATCAAAGTTATTCCCTTTTACGCAGTTTCTGTGATTGTTGCAAATAATTGTGAATATTAATTTCTATTCCACCAGTATTTAACAATTGTAAATCTTTTGTAGGTCCTTTAAAACAAATGACTATTTTAAAATAATGGTTGTTAAAATGTCTTTATTCACAAAAGGTTTTCAGCTCAGATGGGTTGTTAAATTGGCACTTATAAAAGGGGTGTTACTGTGGCGGTACCGCCTACATCAGTGCTTGACAGGTTTGCCCCTTGTTGTACACGTTGCAGGTTAGTCCAGCTAACTTTACTAAGGACGGCAGGCATTGGTGGTAGTAGGTGCATGTACCAGCATATGTGGATGAAGGCGGTGAAAACAAGTTCAGCCGTCGTAAAACATTTGGATGATGTGGACGTTTTAAATACAGCTGTACGTCTCCCAGCAATTACTCGGTAAGTTGCGGCTCCCGGCTCACAGCTTCTGGAACCACATTTGTGAGCCCTCAGAGCATGAAACCCATGATCCTGAATAAACAGTCAACGTATGGCCTGTTGTATGAAGAATACGTATGAGAGCATAACCATCTATGGAAATAATAAACGTAATCATTTATGAACATTTACAATTCAAAGCAGTTTAATTTTACCACCGGTGACGAAGTAAGGCAGCCGATCCGAAAACGGTTTAATCATACCAAAAAACCCTTTTATGCTGAAGTTTTCAAATTATTAGTTGAGCTCCACAGTGAATGCACAAAGGTAGCAGAGACTACATAGAGATCTATTCCTTTCTTGCATAGGCCTAGAAGTTCATGTCTGACTCGGGCCCACTAGGTTTTTTAACACTTTAATTTTTATTTCCCATAAACAACTCCTGCTTCGACGCCTTTGCGTACATTTTTTGTGTTTTTATTAAAAAAATTGTGTGCAGGCTGGACGATTAACCTTTGATATATTTTTGAAGCCCCGAGGAATGTGCTCAACTTTTGAACCGTCGCAAATCTAAGAAAACTTTGTGTCCACGTGTCAAACATCATCCATGGTGATTTGTGCTAATTCACCTCCAACGACGCTCTGCCAGTGTGTCAATGGTCGTGCTTCATCTACAACTGTCGAGAAATGATCGAGACTTTAGACTACCCAATGATTCGCATGCCATTCACTTTCGTTGCGTGTTTTAGTGTTCACTCAATGTCACGTTGTGAAGGCGTGTTTAGCAAAAGTAAAGTCAACACCAGAAGTAGGGAAAACTTCAGCAAAGATAGTTATTTCTATGAGCTAAGGGACTGTGCACGCAATTTTCAAATTAACCTTTCCTTTGTCGATAAGAAGGTGGAACGCTGCCGTTGTTGTCGAAATACTGGTTTTTTCAGGAATTTTAGGCATATTATTTTGAGGAAAAGGAAATTTCACCGAAAAGGGTATTAGTTGCAAATTGCAAAATTCCTTCAGGAGATATAATTTATAAGATCAGAATGAATTCTCAAAATCCTATCTGCTTAAAACAGTAATGAAAACTCAAATTTTTAATATTTATGACCTTTATGTTCCCTCAAAAACATTTTCTTCTTCAAATTGCACTGATGATGTGAACAAGAAGTCAAGCTCTGCGAAACCATATATGATACAATTAAGCGCGTATTTGTCAATTTTACTTGTTAAATCTTGAAATTTACACTGGAAGGGCACCTAGGTTTACTAAACAATGCAAAATAAAGCCAAGGTTTCAATTTTTATTGGGCAATCTCAAGGAAATTTTGAAGCAAATAAAAATTGTGATCGTCTCGCTTCCAAATTTGCAGGCTTTTCATGCTAAGTGTACAAAATGTATGCTATAACTTGCGAGAGCCAGATGGCGTCCAGGCCAGCTTGCAAGTGAATACCAACCTGGGAGTATAATGTGTACAAGCACAACTGAAAAAGTGCCTGAAAATCAGGCAATTAATTTTTATAGAAAAGGACATTAATTAGGCTGTTTACGTCTATCCTATTGTAATTGACTTGCTATTGTTTTGAATTCCCCGCAATCACGTCTTCGTACGCTACGAATGGAGCATAGACTGACGTGCTGCAAGAACGCCACCTTTAATTAGAAAAATTTTTGAACAAAATCATGTCTGGCTTAGTTACTTACACTGCTTGTTAATTGGGCTTTACAAACATTAGTCGTCTGTTTTACTCTTCTTTCAAAAAATCTGCGTTATTATAGTTCAAGACTGGAGTTGGCTGATAGACTGAGATAATTTCACATATTAGGTATGCCTAAAAGACTTGATCACCCAGCCTCATACAGTTTCCCCTACTTGATTTTCGTCCCGTAAAAAGTACACCTGCAAGACATTATTAAATCCCAAGAAGGTTTTCCTCTAATCATGCATCACGAGCCCACTTTCAATCGCTGCGCTGCGGAGGCTTCGCTAAAACGCCTCACCGCACATCCAGTGAGCTCTGTTAGGAGGAAAATCCTAGGAATTAGGGATTAAGGCGGTGGGTTTGCCTTCGTTCCAGTCGGGTGGTTCTCATTAGAAATTCATATTCTCTCGTTGTGCTTATTCATCTGATAAAAACCCTGCCATTAAACTGAACAAAATCTTATGCCAGCAAGATATGCCGCAGTGCGAGAAAAGGAAGAGAGCTGGCGTGCGCGCACATATTCCATCCACCAAGAAGTCTCACTTTGCAAGCGCAAGCTTTCTTACTTGCATCAGAAGAAAGTAACAAGGAACTTGAAGAAGATGGAAGAGGAGAGCCGACTGAGATGATTAATTTTACCGGT